GGCGCACTCTGCTGGGGAAAGGAGGAACAACTCCAGATCCCAACACCTTGCCTATGTAGTATCTTAGCAAGAACCTGGCTGTTTCTCTGCCAGTAGCCTATTCGTTATCTGGCGCCATCTGCAGACTGAAAGAATTGTAGACTGAAAGAACATTCCTGTGACGTGGTTAAAAAAATAAAATAATAATTCCTCAAAACTACAAAAATACAGCAACATGGACCACATAAAAAAATCATATATATTTAGGAGAGAGAGAACATGAGCTTTGGGGGTCGAACCTGCACTGATCTAAGCAAGTGTTTTATCATTGCACTACTAATACTTTTAATCAGAAACTTTCCTGTTACATAGTTGGTTTTTGCATTTGTCTGTATTTTAAAAGATAGATCTTAAATGCAATCAAACCAATGGATTTACAGGGAAAAATTAACTAATCATAAATGCATTAACATGTAGCAGCACTGGGGCAAAATGGGTTAGCTTAGATGACACCAGGAGACCCAGTTCCAAGGCGGGGCTCAGCTACAAGTCATAAACTGACAAAATGGCTGCTACCTTGTGCCAATTGATGTCATTGATGTTATCCTACAAGGTCTGACTGTTGCTGTCTGATAATCTGTACTGAATAAAACCTGGACTGTTTCCTTTTTCACTGCTTAAAGACACATTAAATATTATCTGAAACAATTGGTTGCTGTTGTTGCTGCTGTGGGTGATCAAAACAACATTTATGTTAAAGCGAGCGGTCAATTTTCCAAACAGACCATATAGCTTTGAATTTAGTGAGAGGTGTGAAAACATGTTTTTACCCCCATGTAGCCGTTTGTGGTATTGTTTCTGCAGAAGCAGCACTGCAGTTAACGAAAAGTATTTCACACTTTGGTTTAAGTGGTCTCATGCGACAGACAGGCACGCTCTTTTTTAGCCTATGTACATTTCATTGAAACAGGAAGTATTTTGTGGTTCCGTTTAAATATCTCTTTTGACACTACTGTGCTGCAGCAACAATTCAAAATGTTTGTAGAAGTTTTGGAGGTCACCATGGAAAGCTGCCTTTTAGAGTAATGTCTAAGCTTTTTAGTGAGACGGTAAGGGTCAAATTAAACTCACGGTCATCTGAGTCATAGCAACTACAAAACAGACTTAAATCTGATGTAACTAGACTTTTATTAAGTTCTTCTGAAAATATTTCGACAGCTATCTTTGACGATTTTGTTGACTCACACTAGAGCAGGGATGTCAAAGTCAAATACAGCGAGGGCCAAAAAAAAAACAAATTTGCTAGAAGCCGAGGGCCGGACTGGTTAAATATTTATTAAATCATATTGAAATGAACAAAGCCTATTGAACCAAGAACTACCACCTTGTTTTAAAAAACAAAACAAAATATTAATATCAATATTAATATAATAAACTTTTATTATATTAATAAATGTATTAAGATAAATACATAAATGAAAGTGCATGCATTATAAACCAATAATGCATTACTGTGCTGTGCTATGATCCCACCGATCACTGCTTTCAAATAGTAAAACAGGTGGGATCCGCACACCAGGTACAGAATACCAGGAGGTGAACAGATGGCACAGTCAGGACCCAGGTGAGTATTGTGCAGATGCCACCTGCCCCTCACTCAACAGCATGTCCGTCTCTATCACCTGCAGGATCAGCTCCGCCCCTCCCTCCATCCAGGCTCCTTTTATTTTGGCTCCATTCAGCTTCTGCTGACACTTGCACGCAGCACTTGCAGAGCGCAGTTAGTGCACTCCGCCTCCTTAGACTTCAGACAGCTTGGATTGTTAAAGGGGAAAAAGCAAAAACCAAAACAATCCAAACATGCACAACAAATACATAAAAAAAAAAAAAAAAGGAAATCACAATCATGTTTTCCCCTGGAAATGTAATGTAATCACACCAACAATACATTCCCCACAATGCAAGTCAAGTCAAGTCAGCTTTTATTGTCATTTTCTACATATGTACAAGACATACAAGGGAAATGAAATTACGTTTACTCTCTGCAATATACAAATATACAAGAAATATACAAGACTAACATTTAAAACTGACATAAAGTGCGGGACATGACAGGTAAGAGTGGTAAGATAAATATAAGTATGAAATATAAACATTACAATAAAAAGCAATAAAAACAGCAGCAATAGTTTGTTCCAGGCTGAGGTAGTGCAGGTAAGGTGCAGTCTCTGGTACAGTGTGTGTGTGTGGGTGTGTGTGAGAGAGAGAGAGAGAGACAGAGAGAGAGAGAGAGGGGCAGTCTTAGCTTCCTGTCTGCCTGGTGGCTGGAGCAGACCGTGTGGGGAGGGGGTGGAGGGAGTTTAGCATTCTGATGGCCTGGTGGATGAAGGTGTTCGCCAGCCGGGTGGTTCTGGACCGTAGGCTTCTGTACCTCTTTCCGGAGGGCAGGAGACGGATCAGGTTGTGTGCTGGGTGGGTGTCATCCTTCAAAATTGTGAGGGTTTTGCGGGTGAGGCGGCTGGAGTAGATGTCTTGCAGGGAGGGGAGAGGTGCCTTGATGATCCTCCCAGCTGTGTTCACTATACGTTGCAGGGCTTTCCTGTTGTAGTCAGTGCAGCTCCCGCCCCATACAGTGATACAGCTGGTGATGATGCTTTCAATGGTTCCTCTGTAGAAGGTGGTCATGATGGCTGGTGGGGCACTGGCATTATTCAGCTTCCGCAGGAAGTAGAGGCGTTGTTGGGCTTTCTTGACCAGTGATGCAGTGTTGGTGGTCCAGGAGAGGTCGTCGCTGATGTGCACTCCTAGGAATTTAGTGCTGCTCACCCTCTCCACAGCAGCGCCATCGATGGTCAGTGGCAGGAGTCGGCGGGGACCTTTCTGGAAGTTGACAACAATCTCCTTTGTCTTGCTGACATTCAGTAGGAGGTTGTTGTCACTGCACCACTTGGCTAGGTGGTCCACCTCTGTCCTGTAGTGTGTCTCGTCACCGTTGGAGATGAGTCCCACCAGGGTTGTGTCGTCTGCAAACTTCACCAGGTGGTTAGTGCTGTGGGTTGTTTTGCAGTCGTGTGTGAGTAGGGTGAAGAGCAGGGGGCTTAGCACGCACCCTTGTGGAGCTCCTGTGCTCAGCGTGATAGTGTCCGAGGTGTTGTTACCGACGCGCACAACTTGCGGTCTCTGGCACAGGAAGTCCAGCAGCCAGTTACAGAGGGAGGTGCTGAGGCCCAGTTTGTCCAGTTTGCATATCAGCTGTTGGGGTATAATTGTATTGAATGCTGAGCTGAAGTCGATGAACAGCATTCTCACATAAGAGTTTTTTTTCTCCAGGTGAGTGATGGCTGGGTGCAGAGCTGTGATGGCTGGGTGCAGAGCTGCAACGGTAGCCTGCGAAGCCACAAGCGGCCATGGTCTGTGGGGCGGTTCTAATGGTAATCAAATATCTTCCAGGGGGCCATGGATAAACAATTGCCTTGACTTTGACATATGTGCATTAGAGAAAAGTGTAATTGGATTGCTTATGTTTTGAAGCACCTGGAAGCTAATCCTCCTCAGCACATTCCTGTTGGGAGCTGGAGTAGTACCACCTTCCTCCAGCAGAGTCCGCCGTGGATCCTCCTCAGCCTAGCCTCTTGCACAGCTGAGGCTCATTCCTTCATCAGAGGGTCCACACTATATAAGCTGTCTTCAGACCTTGCCTCAATGTCGCAGTGTTGAATTCAGTTGGTTAGCACTTAAGCCAAGATCCTTCTGAGCACTTTGTTGACTTTGAATCCAGACTGGATTCTAACCTTTGTCTCTACTTTCAGGAAACCTGTTTTTCTCTTGTGAAGCTCTGGAAGAGCTTAACCTGCCGAGCCTGCCCTCTGAGCCAAACCTGAAGCCTCTCTCTGGATTTCCATGCAGCTCTGGACCAAGAGCTGGAAACTCAAAACCAAGGTCTGCCCTCTCTCTAGTAGTAAGATGCTGAAGCAGCTAACGGACTCTGCTGAACAAACATTCTCTGGACCCAACAGTTCTCCTCCCAAAGCTAAACCAAGAACCCTCAAGGTACAAACCTGAAACTCTCAAAGTCAAACTCTTCTGATGCTGCGCTAACTGAACTGTCTCCCACGCAGACTCCAGTGAACCTGCCCTCCAGGCCTGAACCAGAACCTGTGATTACTCTGTGCTTGTGAAACAATAAACTTGTTAAACCTTTCACTTCAGTTTCCGTTTCGTGGGTTCTGCATACTTGGGTCTCTCTTGTGAACCCACCATGACAATTCCAAGCCAGATGCAAATCAAAAACCCATCTGTAGTTTTTCAGGTTTGTTGGAGTTTGCTGTTTTGTATTGGTTTTGTGTTTGTCCATCTTAATTATGGTCAGTGGTCTTGTTGAATCTCTCTGGAATAAGTATAGAGAAAATATTGTAGATGGTTGGAAGGTAAAACTGCAATTGTCCCCCTCAGTCCAACAAGCTGTAAAAAGTCAGGAGACTTCTTCCCCTCTGCTTCCACTTTACCCGGTAACTCAGCAGATGTGCTGCATGATAATTTCCAACATTACAGAAGACTGCTTCTTTAGTATCTCGTATTTTCTCAGAAAATAACTTTTCAAAGTCATTGTAGGACGGCCTTACGTAAACATATCAACAGAATGATTGACAATTAGGAGGACCACTTATTTAGATGATCCACCCGGAAATAGATCTCCTCTGTACCTTTAACTCTTAAAATGAAAAGTCTGTAAAATTACAAACAGAATTCAGCACAGAAATAAATGACAGAAAAAAACTAACCTAACCAATATGTCTTCATCATCATGACTTTCAGAACCGAGAGATTTGCATTTTTTTCATCATTAAGATATTTCCATAAACTAACACCCTAGATTAAAATTCATCTTTTCATTGCTGCAGACCTTTTTTTTATCAGATTGTTTTGTTTTTAATTAATTATGCTTTCCTAAGGTGCACCTGCCCTGGTTTAGTAATGAAGGCACTGGGGGCGGAGCGATCTGAAACCAGTTCACCGTCAGCGTCTAATAAATTACAGGAAGATGAAACAGACAAACTGAGCTCTGTGTTTATATGAATGACAATATGTAATGGAGAGCCCATTAAGGATCTTTCTCTTTTCTATCGGTGAGTTAAAAACTGTTTCTGTTGAATGTTCTAGATCTAGCAATGATGAAACAGCTGCTGTTGGGAACAGAGACACTATTTACACACTGGAAAAATAATGCAACCGTTTTTGGCATTTAGTTAATCACATTTAGTTACTTTAACACGATTGTTTTATGATCTACCTTACTAAAATAAAATAAAAATAAAAACTGTTAAAGTCACTAAATATGATTAAATAAATGCTAAAAACGGTTGCATTACTTTTTTCAGTGCAGATGAGGCTTCTTTGCGACGGACTGGCGACCTGTCCTGGGTGGAACCGCCTCTCGACCAGACAGCTGGAGATAGATACCAGCAGCCCTTTAGCAACCCCACCTGGGATTAAGATCAGAAGATGGATGGATGGATGGATGGATGGATGGATGGATGGATGGATGGATGGATGGATGGATGGATGGATGGATAGATAGAAGGAAGGAAGATGCGACTTCCTACTCCTCTCTGCAAAAAACAGCAAGGCAGGCTGTGAGCTATAATCGCATTTTCTTCTTTAAAAAAAAGAGCAAACAACCGCGCTTCTTTCTATCTAAAATGAATATTTTAGACATCTGAAATGTAATTCTTAATAGTGACGTCACTTTTCCCCATTTATGTGTATTGGGCCGTTACTTTCAGATATTCAAGATGGCATTACTCCTATCTAAAATAAACATTCAGGATTTTTTAAAATTAATTTCAGATCTCTGTAATCCAACTGACTAGGAAGAAATCAATTTGAGACATCTGGATTACATCGCACATGCGCTCTTGGCTGTGTGCGTCATGCAAAATGTTTGGTGGCTATTTGCCATTATGATGTTAAACTGCTAAATCCTGCGTTTTCGGTGAATTCAAATATTATTTGTGTTTTATTTGAAGCTTATCCAAACCCTCTTTATCTTAATATAGTTTTGCATTGCAGTTAAATTAGAAGAAAATTGCAGGTGTTCATTTAATTTTATTTCTTTGCCAAATTAGATCCTGATGGGAAATAATATTAGTGTCAGTTTAAAACTCCCTACTTTGAATAATAAAAAAAAAACTCACACTAGCATGCTAGTAGTGACAGTGGAGAGGAACAACACCCTTTTAACAGGAAGAAACCTCCAGCAGAACCAGGCTCAGTCTGAGCGGCCATCTGCTTAGACTGTCTGGGGTTCAAGGAGACAGAAGCAGAAATACAAAAGGCGACTGTAAAAGGCGTCCCCGCCCAGGAAACACACAGCCAGGCAGACGAGCTCTGAGCCAGCTCCCATGCCAGAGAACGAAGAGAGCCACTCACAGTCAGGGAAACCTGACTACACCACCATCTATAAACAAGGGTGTTCATGGCAGCAGCAAAGCTGATATTTCTCTCCAGGATGTTGTCACCGACAAACAGGAACAAAAGATAATAAAGTCAAGTCTAAGTCTAAGAGGCCAAGCTACTATGTACTATACTACATTTAGCTTCCTGTATTGCGTTTAATTTTATTGCACATTTTGTTTTCTGATTTAGTTCTCATTTTTTGACAATCTTCTGCACATTGTTTAAATCCTACTATTCTGTCTAAAGCAACCAGTTTGGTGAGGTATAGTTTAAATGAGGAAAGATCAGATTATCAGACTGAAAAAGCCTGGAGCAGAATATGTGAGAGGGAGGCTTCATATGACACAGATGAGAAATCTGATCTATTCAAACTAGTACAGAATGTGGTCTCACAAGAAACATTAAATAATTCATGCCATTGTCAGCAGCTACACGCTCTTAAAGCGGGGGATTGGTTGCTCTCCATTTTAAGCAGAAATCTGAATCAGAAGTACTTTAAAAATCCCGGAGGGAAATTACTTAAAGCGAGATGTTTTGCTATAAATGAGGATGTTTTTGTATATGAGAAAGAGTCAGAGAGGAAAATCTAGCGCTCCCTTTCCATTAAATGCCCATTTAAAGCCCTGGGATGTTTGCTATATTGGTTATAAGAACCCCAGGGAGTTCCTCTGTGTGCTTTCCCCATTTCTCTGAAAGCCTGACAAAAACTGCAGTACCCAATCAATCCAGCAGGTGGTGATAATTAGAGCACACAACTTTTTTTTTTTTTTTTTACCTTCAGTACCATGATTAATCATAAGATTTACTACCTTTAAAAGAGCATGTTTTTTTTGTTGATTTTTTCCATTAGACATATTTTGGTTCATGACCAGCTTTAGACTTATCCAGTTGATTCCCTCCAACCATAAAAAGCATAGCCCTTAACAATAAAAGTTTAAATAATGATTTTTTTTTGTCAGTGTTCATTTGGCTTGATTTGTGGCTTTATAGCTGCATGATTCTTATACTGTTAAATATTGTTTTTAGTCGAAGGAGACCCACCAGCTTGTACAGGGAATTGATACGTTGACTTTATAATTATGAGTTAATATTTATATTCGCCTAAGCAGCTGTAGGATAGGACTTCAAATGGATCTCAACAAGCTGGGAGACAGCATTCAACTCACAACTTCTACTGTTGCAGCGCTGTCCACATAGAACTATGAAAAAAAAAAATTGGTAAAGTTATTATTGAAAACGCCACCATTTTTCTCAGTAAATATATTTCTAGAGGTGCTATTGGCGTGACATTTTCTCCAGATGTTGGTAAAAATCAAAATATATATAAATGTATATACTAAACACCAGTTTAAGTGTCAAAGGTTCAGGACCCTGAGGCCTCTTACTGCTGCCCAATGGTCTTTGCACGAGTCCCTCATGGTTCGTCCTGCAGGTGATGGACCCACTGGGGAATGGCTTTGCGTCATGCCTTCGGACTCGGCCCGGCCAGGTCTCATGAGGAAGAAGCAAAGTTGTCTGATAGGCGCTGCCCAATGAACTCCAACCTGGCCTGGTTCCAGGATGGGGTCCCAGCTCTGCTGTACCTGGCAACATCATTTGCCTCGATTTCGTAGTCTTCATGAGGGCGTTTGAACCAAGCAGCTCGCTGCAAGGGAAGGAGCTGGAGCTTTAGGAGTATGGAGTTAGGGGCCCTTTACTAGGAGAGTTGTGGACTCTGTACAAGAGGAGCAGGAATCTGTTCCGCAATCCCGGCGTTCAGGCAGACCTGTTCCCAGTGCATGATGGACTCTAAGAGGGTTCCCCTCTATCATCAGTCCTTTTCATAACCTTTATGGACAGGATTGCTATGCGCAGTGGAGGGTCTGGTTTAGAGACCGGGATCTCATCTTGCTTTTTCCAAATGATGTGGTTCCAGTTGCTCCCTCCTACCAAGACCTACAGCATGCACTGGGGCGGTTCACAGCTGAGTGATGTGGTCATGATGAGAATCAGCTCCTCCAAGTGGCCACACGGAGAACCACACGGTTCTCAACATGGCCACAGTTGAGAACAGTGGCCATGGTTCTCGACTGAAAAAAAGGTGGCTTGTCTCCTAAAGTTTAGTGCAGAGTTCCTTTCTCAGTTTAACTTTAAATGGTTTGACATTACTTGATGTTTAGTTTATATCTACTTTATCAGTTCTCAGTTGGGGACTTGCCTCTTAGTTTGTTGAAAGATTTGTAAAAAAAAAAAAAAAAAAAAAGATTGGCAGTTATTTAAACTCCACATGAACAAAAACTGAACTTCATGATTATTCCAGATGTGCTCTAGTGACAGCCCTGGAGTTTTTGAACCACCAAATATTAGCTGATTACACAAATTACAGATTCTCTATAAGACAGCCTAATACCAGGACCATTCAGAACTTTGGCCCATTTAAATCACTGATTTATAACTGCCGTTTGTGCTTGGGTCAGCTTACAACTACCATCCTGATCAGTACAATCCCATCTGGTAGAAGCGAAACCGCTAATATTTCAATGCTTTAGATTGTGTAGTGAAATGTCTCATGGAAATCAAGGCTCCCATCAAGTGGAGTAATTCTGTCTTATTAATTGGCTGTGCTACTTTCTCATATTGCAGTATTAAAATAAGGCAGCCTTAGAGAATCTTTCAGCTGCAGGTTCTACTAGCATCTTAAAAGTATAATGGACGATCTAATCGGCTTCAAGTTCCAGAAGTTAGATTTGGTTATTTCTTAAAAACATCTCCATAAAAATCGTCTGCTGCCCCAAAGTGGTTAAAATCACGAAAGACGGGAAACACCAAGCAGTCCTGCTTTCAGCATTTAAAAGCAATTGTTCAACCTTCATCATTTACCTTTTTATGAGATTTTGATGATTTTTCCAGTTTTTTCTTCATTAAAATAACTTTATGTTAGATGTTGTTATTCATAATATTTGATTAAAGGGAAACTCGTTTTAGCTTTGAAATAAAGAGAAAACTGTGACCTAAATCAGAATGATCCTGTTTCCCTTTGGTTTAAGCTCTAAAGTGAACCTCAACAAAAGAACATGGATCCAGTACTGAGCTTCAACTTCTTCCACATTAACCTTTTAAATTAAACCTTTTTAATTTAGAACTGTCTGTGTTCAGTGGTTGAATCAAATGGTAATTTATCAATGTCTGTATTTGAAGTTTAGTGATAATCATTCTGTATCTGTTGGTGTTTACAGTGTTGATGAGATTATTTGCAGCTGAGGAAGTGAAGAAGAACCTGATTGGAATCATTGGTGGAAACGTCACTTTCCCAGATCCTGTGCTGGAGGTTGGATTTCTTTTAAAAGGAAGAAACATTGCTTCAATAAATGATGGAAAACTTCAGACTTTTGAGGAGATTTACATGAACAAACTTCACTGGAGCAAAAACTCTGGACTCTTTATGATCACAGACCTGCAGAGGAGCGACTCAGGAATTTATAACATTGACTCTAAAAAAGGAAAAGTTTTCTACACTTCCTATAATCTCACAGTTTACGGTACGTCATAACAGCTCAGTACTAATCAGAGCAGTAAACTTCACTTCATTTAAAACCCTTTATATGTGATCCTACCGATGTTTGCTGTGTCTAGAATCAGAAAATATTTGCAAGGAAAGTTTATTTACATACAATGATATTAGTTCACCAAGAATAAATCATTGTTTGCTTTAGTTCAGTTTCTGTTTATCCTAAGCCAGTTATAAACAGATACAGGATGATATTCTGCAAATATTATTACAAATTGAGGGAAAATTATTTAGGAGGGGATGGGATAAAGATAAATATATTTGCTCTCATCTACGGTGGCCCTGAAGTGCAAACTGCAACTACAAATCTCAAAAGCGCAACTACATTAAGGAAAACAAAACTACATAAAGCAAAGCGCAACTACATTAAGGAAAACACAATTACATTAACCTACCGGAAAAGGTAGGTACCAGTGGGAAACATGAGACATCGCTGATTGGACGACGGCGCCGTTTGACCCTTGAACCGGAAGTTGCGTCGTCTGAACAGTCCAGCTTCTTTTAAGTGTGTCTTCAGTGTACGCAAACTAACTGAAATTTCGTGATTAGTCTTGAGCATATCCAGTATCACCTCGTACGTATGTCCTGATTCAAAATATTCCTGGATTACGGCAGCTATGTTTGGGGCGCCGACAATATCCATGTTTTCAAAAGCCGCAGCAGGCAGAATGACTTCCGGTTCAAGGGTCAAACGGCGCCGTCGTCCAATCAGCGATGTCTCATGTTTCCCACTTTCCGGTAGGTTAAAGTAATTGTGTTTTTCTTAATGTAGTTGCGCTTTGCTTTATGTAGTTTTGTTTTTCTTAATGTAGTTGCGCTTTTAGATTTGCATTTGCAGTTTGCACTTCAGGGCCACCGTACACACCCCCCAGACCCATTTCATTAAAAAAATTATACGGTTTCGGAAATTTACAGCTTCATTATTAATTACTCAGTAAAAAACTTAACAGAGCACACTAGTCCAACTATTTGCATTATTTACTTATCGTGTCATACATTTTAAGTAACCTTTAAAAAAGTTCAGCAATTGTCTTTTTTTTCACTGCATTAAAAATCCCTACACACACACACACACACACACAGCTTAAGACACACCTGTTCACAACGCAGAGGGAGTCTCCATGTGCCTACTTGTTGTTGTTGCTTAATTCAAGTACATAATGAAACGTAATCAGGGGTCAATCAACATATTCTCAGGTATGGTTGCTTCAGCACTTAAATATGAAGAGATAAAGGAGATCTTACAGCTTCTGGATATTTGTAGGACAAAAATGGAATATATCTAAAATTGAAGTCAGATTTGTTCACATTCTAGTTATATTTAAGTTTTTTTTTTATAGGTCTCTTTTCTTAATTTCTTCATAAGATTTATTTGCGGTTACCAAACAACTTTTACAGTAAGTTTATGTTACCACCAACTTCTCAACGGTAGTAACTTCTCGTTGCTAGTTAGCTTAAAGGTACTGTGGAGGATTTAATCAAATTTTTTTATAAGACCTGCCTTCTCCACTTTAAATTAAAAAAAATGTCTGTGCGAGATCATGCACGAGCCCATTTGTCTACGCTCAGTTTAAAAGTTTCTGTTGTCATAGTTCATACAAGCTTTCAGTTTCCGAAAATCCGCCCTAACCCATAAATCCCTCAATCACTCTATAGAGTGGGGACTATAGGGAACTCGGTCAACTTATCGTTCGGACAGATGATCACTTCCCAGTTGGTCCACTGCGCAGTGGCTGCGCTATTTTTATTAGTTGGCGCTGTTGAGTATCCGCAGCCTATTGCGACAGCAGCCGTTTAATGACAGCAAATCCCATAATGCTTTGGAAGGAGAGCAAAGCATTCTGGGATATATTTGCGTGTTCTTACCCCTTTCTTTTCTTCTCTTACACTACACCCTCGGCCATTTTCAAAGAACTGCTTTGAGAAAGGTGAGCTTCAATCACTGGCTGAAACTGTAGCTCACCACAGATATACGCCTGAAAGTGAGCATTCGCAGAAAAATATAGCTAACGGGACAAGTATGATTTAGGATGGCCTTCTGTAAATATATCACCAGAATGATTAACATTTAGGAGGACCACTTATTTAGATGATCCACCTGGAAAGATCCTCCTCTATACCTTTAACTCTATGTAAAGGAATATTCACTTTAAATTCTAAGTATTATGAATTTTTCCCAGTGCAAGTCTCCATTACCTCGAAAATGTAGGCGATAATAACATGTTGCTAAACTAGTAAAGTTAACTAATGTAAGTCTGTAGACCTATTTGATTTCACAGTGTATCTAATAACAGTATGTCATATTAACATCACATATAATCAGAAAACATACAATGGATATATACATTTTCCTTAACAGTATCTATTGTTCTCCATTTCCTTTTAAAGTTGTGGTGCTTATTATTTAATATATTGGAGTAATATAATTTCTTATTGTCTTAATGATTTCTTATAATGCTCCATAATTTGTTTTTCCTAAACTATAAAAATTAATTCAAGTGACTTTTGGAAGTAATGAGTATGGATGAGGAGCAACAGGTGATGAAAGTGAGAAGATTTCTAAAATAATCCGAGGGCAACAGCTATCGAAGGTTTACTTCTAACATGAAAAACGCATGTTTTAAAACATGTTGAAGGTAAATGGATAAAATGTCCTGCTTCTGTATTTTTGGTCTAATCTCCAATCAGTGGTGTGCAAAGGGGGGATCACCTTAAACACAGAAAGTCATCATTCTTATACCTAAATTTCCTGATCACCGTGTATTTATTGCAGATCATCCTCCGACTCCTGCAGTAGAAAATCTGACTGTGAGCTCTGAGAGCTGCTGGTTGCTCTGTTCTGTGGACAATCCGACGTCTCTGCGTTGGTACAAAGATGAGGAGATACTGAACCAGAGCAGTTCTGCTGTCTCTTTACCCATCACTATGCACAGACAGGACAGATACTCATCATATAGATGTGTAGCAGCCAACCCTGCAGGAAACAAGACATTTCACGTTGATGTGAGGACATCCTGTGGGTTCAATGAGACAGAAAGTTCTGATCATCAAAGATATTGTAAGCTTTGTTGTAAAATAAATATTTAGAATTAGGGCTGCACAATATCAGCACGACATGCAATTTTGACATGTTGGCTTAATGTTTCTAATATATTTATTATTTTATTATCTGTATCATCATAATGTACACAACACTCACCTTAAGTTTTATCATCTCTGCTACGAAAACTAAACATCAGGTCTGGATATCGAGGTAGTTAAGAGTCCATCCAGCTATCACCTCTGTTATTGGTATTAATTATATTTTCCAAACTAAAAGCTTTCATACACATTGTGATCCTTGCAATCTGATTTATTGTGCAGCTCTAGTAAAACATTTTTTTGTATTTTTTAAAAATTTTTATTAGAGGATCATAATGTGTTGTGTCTTTTAATAGACGGGACTATAATACCAGTTGTCATCGGTTTTCTTCTCCTTGCTGTTCTGGTCATTTTCATGGTTAAGTGGAAGTTTCAAGGGACAAAGGCAACCAGACCAACAAAAGGCAAGTAGTTTTTTTTTTTTTTCTTTTGACCCAGTTTGATAGATTTTCACCCTTTACAAATAAAGGCCTCAGTCTACAGTTTAAAGCTGAGCTAAATACCTTACTGCTTTTTGTAGATATAAGCTTTTTTAATGACTGATTGACTTTATTGATCTCACTGTTGAGAAATAACTCATTACATCAGCTCAAATAGTCTTTGACATGGACTTGTTATAGAATTTAACCTAGATTGCCATTGAATATTTATAGTTTTAAACAGGATACTTCACTTAGTGGATGCTTTTTACAGTAGGAACATGTTTTAGTTATATTGGGAAGTAATTTTTCAACTTCTCCATTTTCCTAACTGTATCTTGGCAATAAAACATGCCATACCAACAACTTTGTAGCTCTGACCTTTTTTTTATGACATAGTTAATCTGACTCATCTAGTGAGAAGCTTTCTGCTCATTTGTTTTTCCAGTTATAAAGTTATCACCAAGATAAACCGGAAGGTCAGCCCCACATTTACCTTAGAGTGTAATGTTATCAGTCAATAACCGTTTGCTGTACAGTAGCAGGTGCAATGAAAGCAGATCAAAGGGAAGTTCAGAAAGGTTTAAATATCTATGTCAGACGTTTTTTTAAACTTTTACGGTATGACTGCAGACCTTTCAGTTATGTTTATATGAATAGGCTTGTTTTGATGCTATTAAAATTCGTTGTACCAGATGTCCTGTACCTGTATCATTAAAAGGCAGCTGCTCGGAAATCCCTGCTGTTTGTGTACGTCAAGTGTTTTTTCCCGGGAGCAGAAAAACAGCAATTACCAGACAAAGGGCAGCGTGTCCAAAAGAGAAGTTTGAACTAGCAGAATTTTTGGCCTGTTTCCAACCTCCCCTTTATCTATAAGATTATTGAAGACAAAAAGTTTTTTTGAAGCTAAACAGCTTCCTAAAAATGAACAGCCACTTCCAGTTAGTCTTCCGTGTCCATCACAATACAAAGACTGTCCAATGCAGACTGTGGAAGAACCACAGTGCTGGTATTATTAGACCTCAGCACAGGAATCAACACTGTTGATCACTTCATGTTATGAGAGTGCCTGGTAAACTAGGTGGGCCTTTCTGGTCCAACACTGGACTGGTTTAAATTCTACTTGAAGAACAGTTACTTTTTTTGTATCAGTGGGTAACTTTACATAAGAGATCAAAGAAATCACATGTGGCGTTCCACAAGGGTCAATCTTAGGGCCCCTTCTACTCAATATTTACAAGAATAACCTAATTTGATAAACAACCTCATTAGGGGAGTGGTGGCCTAGTGGTTGGGGCATAGAGCTTGGAATCCTGAGGTTCTGAGTTCGAGCCCCACTCCCACAGACTGCCACTCTGGGTCTCTGAGCAAAGACCCTTAACCACACACTGCTCTTTGGGCGCCCAACAATGGCAGCCCACTGCTCCCCAAGGGGATGGGTTAAATGCAGGGAGTTCATTTTGTTGCTCTGTACGTTTGACAGTGTAATGACAATAAATGATGGGGGAAAAAACATGAAGAAAAAGAAACATGAGACTCATCGCTAGGGATGGGGATCGAAACCCGGTTCTATCAAGGACCCGGTTCCACTTTTTTCAAAACATGAAAATCAATAACGTTTGGGCTTATCAATACCACTATCGAGTCTGGTCGTTTTTTTTTTTTTCTCCCGGAGGTCCTGTAACATAATTGTGTGTCCCTCGAGTCGCGCCACAGCATTTAAATCTAATCAATCCAATCACTGCAGCATGTCCACCAATGTTTTGGAATGAAATTGTAAGCAAACAGATATTAAAAGTAAAACAAGTGAAGTCTGGCAGTTAACTTTGCTCGTGGCTAGAGGATGGCTCAACTGAAAAGACTCCTCCTCCTCCTCCTGCTGCTGCCGCCACACCACAGTCGGGCCCGTCTTCCATCATCCACTCAGAGTACCACTGGCACACAGACTTTGTAGCTTGTCCGGTCAGTTAAAAATAGTAATTGTGAAATCCGTGTTGTAATCGGAAGCATACAAGCTAGTTAGCTTGAAAAGTAAACAAAGTTTCAGACGTGCTGCGTGATGATGTGTTCAGATTGGCTCAGTAAAACGACAATTAGGTTATCATGATGCCTTCAAGTGTAACGTAAAGAAAATGGAAATTGAGTTTTTGGCGAGAAACATGAGTAATACAGTTGTATATTGCTATAATTATTTTAGAATATATAATTAAACTACTGATGCCAACATTTATTAAAAATTACATTTAATTTAAAATACAATTATTTATTTGCTAAATATTTTCCTAATCACTAAAAACATGATGAAAAGTGACAGTAGAAAATACATTAACCAACAATTGTGAAAATATATTCTAGTTAGTTTTATGTCATTTCGAAGTGGCCTATTACATTAGCCATGTTTATTGAAGGCTAGAAACATTTTTGTTATGCTCACTTGTTAAGCAATAGAAGCAATACCAGTTCTGTTAAAAAACATATTGTTGCATCGTCTTTCCACCAAATAACAATAACATCCCTACTCATCGCCTCAACATGAAAGAATTAACAGAAGTTAATTTAATCTGATCTGTGATACTTAAACCTTTTAACTTGTTACAGTACAACTTTTTCTCAAAGTTCTTAACTTTACGAAGAATTCATCTTTTAACTGTACTTACAACTTTTACCATTGTTCGTCACCATTTCCATTTTTCCTCTGCACATGGAGCAGCTGGCTTGCTTCAACCAGCAATGAATCACAGGATACCCAAGGCCTTGAAGGAAACACTGCACCTGGGCTGCACTATACATAATCAGTAATTGGATCTGGCCTTGGGAGGGCGCAGCCACTGGATTCTAACACACTGATAATTTCCTGCATGTTAGCTCCCATGTTACTCTCTGTTCTGGTTCCTGCATTTCCTGGCCCTTGTACTACTGGACTTATATTTCTGTTGCATTATCAATTGAATCTACATGAACTAAAGCTGCCTCAGTCTCTGCAATTGGGTCCTCTTTAAACTTCCATATATCCTGACATTATTGAGCATAAATTATTTCTTTTGTGTATCTAATCTATTAATATGTGTTGCATGCTTCCAACATACTGTCAGAGAACAGGTGAGGCTAATTTCAAAAAGCAGGTTTAACAAACTCAGAATCAAATTTGCAACTCTGAATTGATCCAACCTACTGTACGTTTGGAAACTCTAATGCTATGTTCAGACCACACACAGCAGAAGCATTAAAAATGTGCGTGCTGCTTCATTTTTCTTGTACGAGTTTAGTACTGATGCGCAACTGAAGCATCTTTGCTGCTCTAGCTGTGTGGTCGAAAAGTGGGTCTGATGCGTGTTGGGTAGAGCTACCCTATCCTTTCTTTGCCTGTAACAATGGCAGCTATATTTGCTGTGATCAGTGGGTAAAAAGTAGTTTTAATATGTTATTAAGTGAGGAAGTCCACCTGAAAACTTTGCAGTCTGTTCATCCAGATTATAATCCTGCATTCAATATTATTTAGCTGTTGGAGCTGCTCAGACCCTGGCACACCGGCCGTGCTTTTTGACGTTCAAAAAGCCTCTTTGCGCTTTTCCGCTACTGTTCGCCGCAGCTGGAAGGTAATGTTAGTGTACATAATCCAAACTGCAGGCACCAGAATGATAAAATTGACTATATTTTGCTGGCAGCAGTGGCAGGTTAATTTAGGCATTATGAAACCGTTTCAGAGGAGTGACCATAGCGATCTGTATCACCAGTGCTGTGTCTGTCTCCCCACCAGCTCCCAAATCAGCTTTTCTGAATGGTTGATGTGGTGCGTCCAAAAGCAAAAGTTTAATTTTTCCACGCCATGCGCATCAGATGCTCGGAAGCTCACGAGGCCCTGCTTCGGCTGCTCAGACCCAAAGCTCCTCCTGCTCAAAACGTGCTACAGAACCTTAATGCACGTCAAGGCTTTATATGTGAGTTGAACAGTGCTATTTGTTTGCTGTCTTAGTGTTGAGAGAGAAGTGAACTACCAGGGGGAAGAAAAATGATCTGGGAGCCTTGGGACTCAGGAGTTACTGTGTGATCAAGAGGTGAAGCTTGGATTAGATGGTGGAAAAGTAGGTGGAGGGAGAGCACGGTGGAGATGGGGGTTAGCAGGGTTCAAATGGGATCTTTCCTGGAGCCAGAGACACTGCCAGCCAGGCAGCTTTTGAAGAGCATGGAGATTTGACGGTAAACTGAGAGGTTTGGGGGTAGCATCCTCAAACAAAGGAAACCAGACTAATTATCAATCGGCAAAGAGGGACTGGTAGCCAGTGGTGTCAAAAGTACACACATTTGTTACTTAAGTAGAAGTATAGATACTGCAGTTTAAAAACACTCAACTTGACCTCTTTACTCAAGTAAAAGTGAAAAAGTATGTGCTCCAAAAACTACTTAAAGTATAAATGTATAAAGTTACCTTTAAAAAAAGATGCCACTATATGAATTGAAAGCTTTGACTATTTCGAAAAAATTTTTGAGATAGGGCCAAAGATGAGGGAGGTCTTGTTGGTCTCCGTCTCCTAATACGCTCTCGCCTGTGTCCGACCTTTGAGACATTTCAACATCTTTTTCTGACATCGTAGCATAGCATAGACAATTCACAGTCTGAACAACACCTGCTTGCTTCTAATGATTTCCTTTAGCTAACCAATGAATGTTTGCGTAATATGACTCATCCAATTACACTAGTTTCACTAGAAGTGGAATGGCGCAAATGATCTGCATTGGATGGCGCACATGAAGTGAAATAAATATTTATAAACATTAAACCAGGGGTCACCAATTAAAAATCAGCTGGGTCTGAATAAAGAAAATCATCAACCAGTAAAGGTCCAGAGACATTTTTAATGCTCTGTTACTTTAAACAGAATTTAACACTGAAATAAAATGAGGTATTTATGCAATCAAGTATTTTGAAATAAAAATAAATAAATAATAGAAATTGCCAAAAATTGCATCCCCTGCTATCTCAGAGGAGTTGACACTTGTATGACTGTATTCCTTTATATCCATCAGTAGTTAAAAGGACAAGGGTCAGCAAATGCAAATTCTGCCTGTAAAACAATGACAGCGCAATTGTCGCTGTATGATCTGAAGCCTCATTTGGAGCTTTTGAACAGGCTTTTGAAAAACTTTGATAATTTGCTGCTGTAATATTTTAGATTTTTTAGAATAAAAAGATAGCAGATACGCATAATCAAAAAATAACAGAAATATAATTATAGAGCATTCAGTATTATAAGAACGCCCACAATGTTTCTGAATAAATACATTATTGTATGAGTGAAGTTCCGTTACATTTATGGCTCTTTCCTTGTAAGTGTGAAATGTCCCATGCTCCTGAATGCACCATACAGTAGATATCTGACGCCCGTGAATGCATCACACTGCCTAAGACAAGGCTTTGCAGTTTCCAAACTCACGTCGGCTATCACTGTTTATTGTTGTGTGTGAATAACAAGAGACTACAACAAATAAATCAAGTGAACCGCGGACAAAATCTTTGGATTTAATGTTGTTCATAACAACCGTACTGGGGATGCATGTCTCGGCAGGGATGCACTTTCCGGCATAACACCTGACCGTGGTCCGCTAATCCCTGATCTCTGCAACAGAGTAACGAGTAACGTTTGTTTTAAAAATGTAAGGAATAGAAAGTATAGCTATGTATGTGAAAATGTAATGAGTAGAAGTCAGAAGTAGGAGAAAATAAGTAATGGAGTAAAGTATAGATACCTAAAAAGTGTACTTAAGTACAGTAATGAAGTATTTGTGCTTCGTTACTTGACACCTCTGTTAATCACGGTACTGGAAGTAAAGGAAAAACATTTGCGTGCTCTTCTTACCACCACCTGCTGGATTGATAGGGTACTGCAGTTTTTGTCAGGCTTTCAGAGAAATGGGGAAAGCACACAGAGGAACTCCCTGAGGTTCCTATAACCAATATAGAATACATCCCAGGGCTTTAAATGGACATTTAATGGAAAAGGAGCGCTAGATTTTCCTCTCTGACTCCTTGTCATGTTCAAAAACATAATTTATAGCTAAACATCACATGCTACACATCACATGCTACTAAAAAGGAGAGCAGCCAGTGCCCTGCTTTAAGAGCATGGTGACAATGGTATCAAATATTCAATGCTTCTTGTGTGAACACATACGCTAGTTTGAATAGATCATATTTCTCATCGGTGTCATATGAAGCCTCCCTCTCACATATTCTGCTCCAGGCTTATTCAGTCTGATAATCTGATCTTTCCTCATTTAAACTACCTCACCACACTGGTTGCTTTAGACAGAAAAGTAGAATTTAAACAATGTGTAGAAGATTGTTAAAACAATTTCAGGACTAAATTGTCTTTTAATAAAGACAGCCGATTTTAAATGAGAATTAAATCAGGAAACAAAAATGTGCAATAAAATTAAATGTAATACAGGAAGCTAAATGTAACATAGTAGCTTGGCCTCACCTGTTCCTGTTTGTCTGTAACTCCATCCTGGAGAGAAATATCAGCTGTGCTGCTGCCATCAACATCTTTGTTCAGAGATAGTGGAGATCGGCCTGTTTTCCTGTGTGGTTCTGTTTCTCTGACTGTGACTGGCTGGATGTGCTCTCTTCATCCTTTGATATGGGAGTTGGCTCTGAGCTCGTCTGCCTGGTTGTGCATTTCCTGGATGGGGCCGCCTTTTACAGCTGCTTTTTGTATCTGCTTCTGTCTCCTTGAACCCCAGTCTTCCTGTTAAAAGGGAGTTTTTCCTCTCCACTGTTGTTACTAGCATGCTCAGTGTGAGGGATTGCATTTGAGTCAATGAGACGATGCAATGAACTGGTTTTCCTTTGATCAATTTGACTGGATGATCTGGTGAACTGTAAAGTGCCTTGGGATGACGTGTTGTGAATTGGTGCTATAAAAATAAACTGAATTGAATTGAATAGTATCAGGCTTTTTCATATAAGTGACCTATTGTTATATAATTGAATTTGTTTCCCGCAAACCCATGCAAACACTGTTGCCTGAGTCAAAATTAAAATATAAACAATCAGACATGATTATTTCCCTGATGTGTAAAAATATATTAAAAGTTGAAAACGAGACGATCACCAAGAGGAATCTTTAACCACATGTTTTAAAATCTTAACATTTTTAATAAATTCAAAGTGTGGAGTTTTAAAATGGCACTAATGTTATTTCCCATCAGGAGCTAATTTGGCTGCAGTCCGAAAATCCCTGATCTCTGCAACCGAATAACATGTAACGTTTGTTTTAAAGATGTAAGGAGAATGTAATGAATAGAAGTCAGAAGTAGGAGGGAAAAGAAGTAATGGAGTAAAGTATAGATACCTAAAAAGTGTACTTAAGTACAGTAATGAAGTATTTGTACTTCGTTACTCGACACCTCTGCTGGTAGCGACTCATTAAAAGAGGTGACTTGGCCACCTCTTGCGCCACCCAGAGAAGAGAACTGGAAGTTCAATAAGAAAGTAGTGAAAGTTGGCCACCTGGTGTTCCTCTGGTTCCAAAGGCAAAAAAAAATGTTTGTATACTTATCCTGAAACCTGCTGTTGGGAAACTGTATAATATATAATTTAATATTTTTTCCAGTTAATAAGAAAAATATTGCAAATCCAAATTCACACAAAGCTGACAACAAGATTTTCCAGATAATTTTGCCTTAAGCTTGTGCTTCATCCAAAGAAAATGTATTGATTTCTATGTTTTTTCTTTGGGGAGAATCTTTTGAATAAAAAAATGACAGGGATGCCTGCCTCTCTTTATAAAACAGATTAATAAGCATTTCTTATGAAAGGAGATAATTTCTCTAGTTGTTCACAAAGGCTTAACAGATATTTGAAGGAATCTGGAAAGATGGCTGGGTTGCATAATTCATATTTGACAGAAGTTTGCTATTTTATTGGATTTTCATCGCCATTCTGTGAAATGTTAATCCTAGAATTTTCCACAGTCCTTTTAATGCAGAGAAGCTCCTCTACTCCAAGCTTTATCTTGTCTTCAAAGGATAAATACAGCCCATCCTCCAAAGACATGTCACCTGTATTCATTTTCTGGTTTTAGCAGTCATTATTCATATCCAATGATTATAGTTGAGGGTCTACCCACTGCTGAATCAGCTTAATGCCTGCCACCAAGGTCTCAGTTGTTCTGTCTTATAATGATTGGGACATACGGGGATTTGAGGTCTCTAACAGACTCATATTGAGTTGTTGATAGAAGACTACTTAATCCTTACCTCTCTTTAGAGAACTGTTCACTACTCCACCACGAGCCAAAGCTTCAGAAAACAGTCCTACAATCATAGGCATACTCAAACCTCTCCACTACATTAAGTTTTTTGTTTGAATATTTATGAATAAAATCTGTAATGCTTGAACCTTTCAACCCATTTATTCAAATACTGAACCACTGTTTACCCAAGATGCAATTTTAAAGTCTAAAGGTTTAATAAAATTTACCTTTATTACTTCACATAGTGCTCTTTTAACCAGTTTGTGCAATGTTAAATAAAGTTTCGGTGCAGATGGATTTCACCTTAATGAAAAACTTGGACAGATGGATGGATGGATGGACGGACAGATGGATATTTAAACCCAAAATAAAGTTTATCTGGTCTACTTGGGCTTTTAAAGTGACTTACTCCTCAATCAGTTATGAAAGACCATCTTTCTTCCCACACACTAAAACTCCAAGTTTCAATTTTATATGTCTGTTGCTCCATAAGTTAATTACTGCTTTGAAATGCTTCTAATTTTTATTTAATCCAAAAACTTGTTTATTTTGCAGGTTCACTGAGAGAGTGCCAATATATGGAGGTTCAGATGACTAATAGAACACATGAGGTATGTTGACAGTTCCACTCAAAAATGTATTTAAGGTTTTTACTGTTTTCATTGAAACCAAATCTACAATCAGAGTAATCTTAAAAAATAAAGGAGCACTAAGGTCTCTCCTCAAGGAAAATAAGTTATGATGCATTCATTTGAGGTTTAGAACAAGTTGGAAAAGATTAAAGACTATTTCCACAAAGAGACGATCTAAATTACCCAAAACATCAGCAAAGGTATCAATGGTTGCATGAATCCAGTGGAGGTCGTGTTGAAACAACCAGAGGTTTTCATTGCAATTATCTTGCTCAAGTTTTGTTGTGTTTTTTATTTCACAATCTCCATGTGTTTGTTTTTAATTTTCCAGGAAGAGACTTTAGCTGCAACACCAGAAAGTTGTGACCACTCCCAAACAACTGTTTATGCAAAATTGAAGCTTCCTGAGGTAACATCAGAAGAACTTGGTGGTCCTTCACAAGAAACATAAAATCTCTGCTTTAAAATAAAGTTGCTATTTGTATAAAAAAAAAAAAAAAAAAAAAGATCCCAGTTCGTGTTAAAAGGGACACCATACATCCATAAAAGACACCCATACAAACTACAAAAAACTAAAACCACATTTATTTTCATGATTTGACTCTGACCTTCAGTTAAACACAACTGATTAAAATCACTGATTAAAACCCTCCTGTGTCCCTTTATTTCCTGCTCGAGTTTGTACTCCTTGTGCATTAAAACAGTTCCTATTTAAAATTTCCCAAAGAATTATAATAAAATCAATAAATCTTTAAAAAAAAATTTCCATTGTCATTATTATATGTTGTGGTTTCTATACATAGTGTATTTCTGAACTTAATGTATTTTCAAAGCCTTACATATCAGTGTGCGTGAACTGTGAACTTTATCCAGGCCTGGAAATGTAAAAAAATAAATGCAAATACATGGTTTCTGGTCAGGTATTATGATGAATGTTTTGATTATAAAAAAAGAAATAGTAATAATAATTGCATTTTCTTATTTTTGTACAAATTGTCAAGCATATATCAGTTTGGAAGACTGTCAAACCAAAACTGTCTCCTGTCCATCACGTTATCTGAATCTACCTCTGCCAGTGTTCTTCTGCTCTCCGCACCTCTACAGCAGCTGTCCTACTATTATAACTTTACATAGCTAATAATGGACACTTGATTATTCTCAGAGTGAGCGTCGCTCTCTTTCACGTTTATTCTTTCAAAACTGATCCATACAGTTCACCATTTATTAAAAATATGAATGTATTCAGTGAACGCTGTTCATTGAACGTGTTCATGTAAAACACCGCCAATCCATGGACCCCATAATGCTGTGTTCAGATCGCAAGCAGCAGAAGCATCAAAAACTCACGTGCTGCTTCATATTTTGGGGGTTTGTACAAGTTTAGCTGAAGCATCTTTGCTGCTCTAGCTGCGTGGTGGAAAATGGAAGCTATATTTGCTGTGATCGGTGAGTAAAAATTAGTTTTTATATGTTTTTAAGTGAGAAAGTCCACCTGAAAACTTTATCTGTGTAGTCAGTTCATCCAGATTACCATCCTGCCTTCCAATATTATTTCGCTGTCTTAGCTGCTCAGACCCCCACATACCGGCAGTTTGCTGTCACAGGGAATCCCATTCAACAGCAGCCTCTGGCCCAGTTTGCCAAGGCAACTGGAAGGCATTTTTCATGTGCGTAATCCAAACTACATGCAGCAGGATAACAAAAGTGAACATGTTTTGCCGGCAGATTTTGAGTGGGGTCGCAAGGGGTGCTGGTGCCTACCTCCAGCTGTCTGCGGGCGAGAGGCAGGGTACACCCTGGACAGGTCGCCAGTCCATCGCAGGGCAACACAGAGAAAAACAGGACAAACAACCATTCACACACACACTGACACCTAAGGGGACTTTAGAGCCAATTAACCTAACAGTCATGTTTTTGGACTGTGGAAGCAAGCCGGAGTACCCGGAGAGAACCCACGCATGCTCAGGGAGAACATGCAAACTCCTTGCAGATAAATCGAACCCAGAACCTTCTTGCTGCAAGGCAGCAGTGCTACCCACTGCGACACTGAACAGCCTGCATATTGGACCAGTTTTACAAAATTTACAGGAGAGGTTTACCACTGATTGACAAACTTTTTACTCAACATTCATTTTTGTACATGTCCAGTTGTGCTTAAAATATTATGCTCTAAGTATTTTATGCATGTGCACATTCCACCCTTGGGTAGAAGAGAAGCTATAAGCACATGAGATATATAGGATGAAACCTTGGGCACAGGAGGTACAGTCACGCTTTACCTGGGAGACCAGGACGCCATCAGAATCAGGAAAAATGGTGGGGACACTTCAGCCAAAGCAGAAGTGCACAATGGTCATCGTCATAGGTGTTATTCGAATAGGAGGGTGCTTCCTATCATATTTCTTTTGTCACCTTTATGTCTGATGATTAAGAGCTATGCTAAGCCAGGATGTGATGGACAGCCATCATCACGACTCTATGTTACATCTGCAGTCAGAGTAAGATGACACAGTAGTAAATTCAATTAAACGAAACCCTCTTTATTCACATCAGATACTGAAATAAAGAAATGCATACAATCTAAAAATCATATCAACAATAAACAAACTAGTACCATAGATAACATATACCAGAAACTGATCCTTCATCTACTCCAAATACCATTTTATTATTAAATCTCAACCACTTTATTGGCCTCTCAAATGCACTTACCTTTATTGTTTTAGCAAATCTACTTCCTTTCTTTTAATGTGCTTGCAATTAGAATAATCTCAGGGTCATGGGTTCATGTCTAATGATAGGCCAGCTAATATTCATTGATTGGTGGCCTAGTGGTTAGGGCATAGAGGTTGGAATCCAGAGGTTCTGAGCTTGTGCCCCACTCCCACTCTGGCTCCCTGAGCAAGACCCTTAACCCCTCACTGCTCCCCAAGGCGATGGGTTAAATGCAGAGAGTGAATTTGGCTACTCTTTATAATATAAAGAGCATATATAGAGCATTTATACTGCTCAATATAATTTTTCAATTAAAGAAAATCTTTCAGATTGAGATGATTTCAACAAAGAACAGAAACATGTTAAATGAAGAGATCCTTTGACAACAACAAAGTTTTTGTTTTAAGTTTCTTTTTCCAAATTCTAGATAATACTGTAGCAAGGCAAAACAAACTCAGCTGACCGCTATTGGAATAATCACAAAACCTTTGTTTGATCTAATAACAAGTCTGATGAGAGAGAGGGAACCCGGGTCGGATTTCAAAAGAGATAATAACTAGGTGTTGACGATAATCTATGATTCAGATGGATTAGTTGGCTTAGAAGCTTTGGAAAATTATAACATGTTGTACAGGCTCTATAATTCTGTCTCTACTATTAAGATGTGAAATTCGTATCTAAAATGATTGCACCATTAAAATTTGACCTTAATTGCTCACCTTTGAATCATGCTGGTAATGCCAACAACAATCTGAAGAAAATAGAAAATAGTGGTGCCCTTTTTTGGCAAGGGCACCACCATGTTGCTGTACTCCACTGGGTTGGTTGACGCCTCACATGGGTTGTACTTCATATGAGGGCCAACCAGATAATGTTGCTTATGGGCCTTTTGTTGTGTCGTTACGCCATTGTAATAATCAGTCGATTTTTTAACATGATGGAGAATCGTGACTATGGGCGGAGGTGGTTATGATGTCACATCAAGATCAGAATCCACCAAAACATCGGCCCTGTGGTCAGAAAATTTCTTAGATCTAAACTCCACAAATAACCTCTGGTCCTTTTTCAGACAGCAAGTGGAGAAACAAAGGCCAACAAACTGGGATCCAATCCAAGCACCTGGAAGAGAGAATGGGTCACCATTCAGGTTCTGGACCTGAGGTTCATTTGTAGTCCTTTAGAGAAAATATGAAAACAAATTACAAAGAATAGGAATGAAGATGACATTTTCTGCATAATTAGAGGTGAAACACGTTATTCTTAATGACTCTGAGCTAAAAAAAAAAAAAAAAAAAAAAAGAATTGCCAGCATACACTCACTGGTCCATATTGACATGATGGCATCACACAGTTGCCGCAGATTTGTCGGCTGCACATCCATGATGCGAATCTCCCGTTCCACCACATCCCAAAGATGCTCTATTGGATTGAGATCTGGTGACTGTGGAGGCCATTTGAGTACAGTGAACTCATTGTCATGTTCAAGAAACCAGTCTGAGATGATTCCAGCTTTATGACATGGCGCATTATCCTGCTGAAAGTAGCCATCAGAAGTTGGGTACATTGTGGTCATAAAGGGATGGACATGGTCAGCAACAATACTCAGGTAGGCTGTGGCGTTGCAACGATGCTCAATTGGTACCAAGGGGCCCAAAGAGTGCCAAGAAAATATTCCCCACACCATGACACCACCACCACCAGCCTGAACCGTTGATACAAGGCAGGATGGATCCATGCTTTCATGTTGTAGACGCCAAATTCTGACCCTACCATCCGAATGTTGCAGCAGAAATTGAGACTCATCAGACCAGGCAACGTTTTTCCAATCTTCTATTGTCCAATTTCGATGAGCTTGTGCAAATTGTAGCCTCAGTTTCCTGTTCTTAGCTGAAAGGAGTGGCACCCGGTGTGGTCTTCTGCTGCTGTAGCCCATCTGCCTCAAAGTTCGACGTACTGTGCGTTCAGAGATGCTCTTCTGCCCACCTTGGTTGTAACGGGTGGTTATTTGAGTCACTGTTGCCCTTCTATCAGCTCGAACCCGTCTGGCCATTCTCCTCTGACCTCTGGCATCAACAAGGCATTTCCGCCCACAGAACTGCCGCTCACTGGATGTTTTTTCTTTTTCGGACCATTCTCTGTAAACCCTAGAGATGGTTGTGAGTGAAAATCCCAGTAGATCAGCAGTTTCTGAAATACTCAGACCAGCCCTTCTGGCACCAACAATCATGCCATGTTCAAAGTCACTCAAATCACCTTTCTTCCCCATACTGATGCTCGGTTTGAACTGTAGGAGATTGTCTTGACCATGTCTACATGCCTAAATGCACTGAGTTGCCGCCATGTGATTGGCTGCTTAGAAATTAAGTGTTAACGAGCAGTTGGACAGGTGTACCTAATAAATTGGCCGGTGAGTGTATATAAACACAGAAAAATACTCCAGTTCTGCTTCATTTACTTCTGTTTGTGAAAAATTAGTTTCAGACAGCAGAGAACATTAGAACAGATGAGATACAAACAGGATAATCTCACACCGAATGTTTCAGCATTAAGCAGCAACTCAAAAGCAGGAAAAGGTGAGTTGAAACAAAGATAATATGTTATGTCCAACTGAGAACCTGTAACATCAATCGTATTATGAAAGGTTTTGATAAGCATTTAAATTACAGCAAAGTCAGAAACCATCAGCTAAATGTCTGATGATCTGATGCTTCAGCAGCTTTTGGCAGTTTTTGGTCACTGTCTGCTGAAGGAAACCACACAGCTTTTTTTGGTTTACTAAGATCTAACAGATACTAACAGAGTGTGACGAAGACTTAGACATGATGGTTATGTCTGCAGAAGCAAATCACAGGGTGAGGTTTCTGGGCAAACCTTAAAGGTGATGTGTTCCTGTTCCTTCAACTGAGCTGCTTCACTAACTACTGTTAAACTAAATGCTTAGATCCTGGGGTGAGGGATTACCTTCCAGTCAATGAGTCGATGCAATTAACTGGTTTTCCTTAGATAAAAAAATTTGAATCAATTTGACTGTCATTTACTTG